TGGAGGGGCTTGGGAGGGGGGGGGGAGGTAGGAGGAGCCGATGAGTGCTTACATTATGAGAATCACGAGTCAGTTGGCGAGGCGACGATAAGTTTGCTGGTGATTTTGTTAATGATCGTTTAACATTTTAACAATTTATTTCTCGCGACAAGGAGAACGTTATAGATATTATTGGATTATTGCAGCATTGTCACGGACGTAGGGATCGAGTGAAATTTAAATTCACAACAATTCCAAATTCCGAAAGCGATTGTAGATTATTGATGGATCGTAAGTAACGATTGCACAAAAGTGCTAAGCTTACACATTTAGGCCTGAAATTTTTCTCACATAGACGGCTTCCTTAACAAGACTTCTCACGGTTTCGTCCTTGCGCAAATCCTTTTTCATTCATCTTTTTATCAATTTTCATCCTATAGCTTGGCACGTGTTTAGACTCGACGGAAAAGAGTAATCTCCCAAACATAATAAACTACTTTGTAAATAAAAGTGTCAAGCGGATTCTTAGATTCTTATTTGACTTATACATTATTGATATAAAAAGTTGGAGGAGTGAAAAGTTTTTCCTCAACGTCTTGTAAGAACGAAACTTTGTCCATTACCCCGCTAATACTGGATTTATAGTTTATAATTGATTTCAAGTAGGCAATCAATAAGATTTTAATTACAAGCTTTACAATCTACGACGTTTGATGCTCCAACTACAATTGGATTTGTAAAGTAACGATTATTTCGTTGTAAATATGTACGTTAATGCATAAGGAAGCCGTTGAATTTTCATTAAATGTTATTACAGCTAATGGGGCTCGCTGTAATATCGGACCAATTTCAACTATTTAAAGTTAAGTCGTTATTTGTGGCAATTCATATCTGTCGAGTACAACACGATAGATACGATCGATCGTACTTTTATCGTCAATCGAAGATTTCAATATCCTAATGTGCCTATGAATGTATCTTTTGTATTGGAAAAAAGAAGAAGCCCGAACGCTGTAAAATAAACATTATGTAATACATCCTCGGGAAACCTATAGATGTGGTCAAATCGGTAGGCTATACGAGCCCCGAACGAGCCATTTATTTCCAATACCCAAATAATAAATAAAAGGTCGCCTACTCCGTACGTCTCAAACATATCCAAACATAAAGCTACTCGTAGCCCTAGGATGCGTCGGTTGACCGAACTGAACTCGTCTTCTACTGTTACTACTACTACCCCTCCCCCCACCTGGGAATCCCCCGATCGCCCGATCGCGCCCAGCCAGATCGACCCCGCGCGCGCGCACCGCTAAGCCGCTTTCTCCTTCTCCTCCACCTCTCGTCCCTCCTTCACCAAAGCGCCAATTAAATCACGATTGCCAGGACGAATTTTTATGAATTGCCGGGCATTGTAGAGGGGAAAAATGCTAGAACGAATGCTACGTCGTCGTCGAAATGAAAATTAAGGTGCGACGAATCGCTCTTTAAATACAACCCGGGAGAGGCGCACAAAGCTCGCTCCGCGGTTCAAAGTCCGACTCTCGTCCTGTGTCCCGGCTCGCCCAGAATTCCCAGCTCCTCGTTTTCCGGCTTTCGTGGACCCTCGAGCCGCTCGCCCAGGCCATTCACGAAACCTGCTCTCGACATTTTTCAGGCCCTTCCCCCTTCCGAGAAAAGCCTCTCGAGCCGACCCACGGCTGGCTGGCTGGCGGGCTGCACGCACGATCAAGGCGGCGGACACGTGACACTCATCCTCGAGCGCTCCCTTTGTCCCCGATCGGTTAGTCTTAACGCCGGTGCGTATCGCCGTAGCTCTCCACCGAAGACAAGCACCGTGTCTCTCCAACTGCCTACCGTTCGTCATTATCTATGTTCGTCGATTCTAACGCGGGTAGCCCCTCGCACCCGATCCAGTCGCGTATACTGCGTTCGTGTTACCCGTCGCGCCCACTCGTTCCTTTATTATCTCATTCGATTAGCTGGTGAGGCTGTTGAGGAGGCAAACGGACGGACTCGCCTACACGTTCTCCAGCGTCGCGTGGCGGCTCGATCGATCGGTAGGGATTGGATCGGGCCTGGGTGGTCACGACACTCGGTAAAACGCGGCTACGTCAAAGTGCGCGCGGTACCACCAAACGACAAATGTCGAATCAGCCTTTTTGTTTTTACAATGCGAATGCTAGCAATTTGTGCACGCTCGGTCGGTTCCTCTTTCCCCGTAGCGCCCGAATTCGCCGTAAGCGCGCTCACGTGGAGCGGTCCGAGAGATCACCGGCGACGGGGTCCGGGCACTTTACCTGCGCTGCGGCTGCACGGGCGCGGCGCGACGTTTCCCAAGCCAGGAAGATGGAAAATCGCCGTGGCAAGCGGAACGAGGCGGGAGGGGAACAAGCCGGTTAGTGTAAAGCCTCTGAGGTACGTGGGTGCCCAGCGGGAGCGTATATTGGAGACTTAGGTAGCCGGGGTGAGCGAATTGGGCTAGGGCAACCAACACCCAAGAGCCCCAACGCCAGCAGGCATTTTCAAACAAATAATCTTTATCTCGATTACCGGGGCCCGGATCTTTATGCTCCGTAACGAAGAATCAACGCTAACTTTCCTTCTTATCTCGTATCTGACGGTTTTCGACCCTAGAATCTCTCTTGGCCTCCACGTTCTTAAGGCACTCCACCATAATTGATAATTTGGGCATTTAAATAGCCGTAGGGCCGGGACAATAAGACGTATACTATCGCGAGTCTTCCAATCTTACGTGACGTCCACGTGTCCTTTCATTCATAAATGCTGGTGCTCGCGGTGCGTTAACGCATAGTAATGTCTGGACTAATGGAAAATGAAAGAATGATCGTGATGACAGATTAACGCGATGTACGATTAACGGATGACGGATACTTGTAGCGTACTTATGATTTTGTGATCTATTAGGTACGCTAGGCCGTCGGCGAATGTCATTTGTTATTGTTGTTGTACTTGGTTATATCATTGCCACTGCGGAAATAGCGAGCTTCCAACCCAGGGTTAGAGATTGGCCATCGGTGTATTTAGCAAAGTGTGATTTATTGAAAATTTTCTTGACTATGAGCCTGCCGCAACATCACATATTACAACATAACACATTACAACTCTTCTATACAGAATTCCTCTTTATGACTATCTTAAATTTCCCGTAAATTGTTGCTTTTTATTAGCAGTGACCCGAAAAAATCACGCATGGGTGTGAAGAAGCATAGGCCGTTCGTGCATCCCTGACCAGCAATGAAATTAAATTCGTTAGTTGGCCGGGCGATTAGGTGGGGTGGATTGAGACTTGGGCGATTGGGATGATTGGGGGAAATGGGGGGGGGGG